GTATAGTTAAAAGAAGTTGTCAAAATTCCCATCAAGTTTTCACTATGTTGCATTTTATGATAATTGATTTGAAATTTGTGATCATTTTTAACATAAATTATTATACCCCCGCCTCTCTTACCCTTCCGCAGCTCTGTGTACATTGTATAACCTTTTAATTGATATACATTACAAAGAGTGTCTGAGATATTAACCTCTGTTAGCATTATAACATCAATACTTCGAGTAGACGAGTAAATACACTGTTCAAGGCAAGCAAAGTTTTTGATAATAGATCTGATATTCACATGTATGCACAACAAAGCCAAGTTACTTGGAACTCTTTTAAGGAACGTTATTAGGTCCGTACAGTTAGTTAATTGCAAAATATTATCTAGGTTACTATTCATTTAGGTAATTCAATAAACTCAATACACAAATGCTAAACTGTTCAAATACCTCACTGTGGGCTGTCGTTAGACGATACCCTGAGATTTTTAACGTCTTCTACGGTTCTTATTATGATTGGCTTTTGCGATTCACCTTCTTTCCGTACACGGAGAACCCCTTGTTTGATCCAAATGTATTTGAAGACATTTTTCAGTTCTTGTTTCGTGTACCACAGCAGCTGTTTATTGAATGATGTTAGAGATTCACAAATAAATATATTTTCGTTAGAATTTGATGTTGGGGCACTGAGAATAATATCAGCTGGTACTATTTTGGTGCTCTTTGATTTAGCAGCAGCAATCCAAGTGGCCTGGATTTGTTGATTCAGCAGTTCTACTATAACTGGACCAGGGCGATCTTTTTTACCAGGGAGACGCTGTACATTTTTGATATCTTCCGTTTTTTGATTGAGTTTTTTTGCAATATTATCTACGATTTCAATTACATTTTCATTTTCAGTCGATGGAAGATGGTGAATTTCAATAGAATGATTCAATTCCTTTTGTTCCATTACCTGTATACGCTGCTCCAGGGCCCCAATTCTCACCTCCAGGTTATTATTTCTATTTGTTAGATCTGTGTTTTTTTTTTGTAGATTATAAATGTTTTCCTGCATTATAGCCATTTTTTCCAGAAATTCGTCCATTTTATCTGAAGTATATTGAACAGAGTGTGTAATTTCTCTCAATTCACGTTTTACAGCTTTTTCCACCTCCTTAGATAAGTCACCAATCAGTTTTTTAACATCAAAGGGTAAGTTTGGTGTATCTTTTTCTTCTTCTGAATCTTCGTCTGGAATGACGATAGAACGACGTCTGGATGAATTTTGACATTCCTGGCAGGTCCACTCCAAATTTTCCGTTGCTCGTACGGCTGATAATTGTTTGGTACTAAGACCTGCACACTGAGTACTTAAATGTACAATTTTTTCACATCTATTGCACTCCAATCCAGGTTTTGATTTAGTTATATTTTTTTCACAAAACTCACATTTTGGCGGCATTTTGTGGGTGGACATTTTCAGCAAGTAATTTTGTGTTGCTCACTGTGTTTTTTCGTAATTTTAATAAGCAATATTGAAATCACTTATAAATAAATGTTTTTACCGGTTTTAAACAGTTATTATAATATTACAAACTTTTATTGATAAAATTTAGTTGGAGCGAAAAAATATACGTAATTTAGATATTGTTTCTGATAGAGCAATGGGGACAACGAGGTATGGTACAACCATTGATGCGGTATTTTCAAGATTCGTGAACCACGTATCTACACGTCCATGTGTCTTATTTTAGTTACCATAAACCACTTGTCACTGTAATTAATAATGCAGACAATGTTGATTTAATTAACATTTAAAAAAATGATAATAGTCTGATAACAATAATTACATAATTTATCAACATTCCTAATGCTATATTTATGCACATCTGAAATTGACTATTGTAAAAAGTTTAATGTAAAATATTTCGTCGATTAGTTATAATAAATGTATATGAAATGAATAAATATATATTTATATATGTATATATTTTCATTAATTTGTTAATTTACCCTTTCATACAGTATCAATCTTTTTTAAGTTAAATAAACTCTTTTTGCGTCTGGTTAGACTATCGAACTTAAGGGAGTAAACTCCAGTCGTGCGTCGGAGCTAACACACACATTTTTTTATTTAAACGATCTTGAACATGATAATAAAATCTTTGTATATTTAATAATATTAGAGGAGCTCGATGGTGCAGGTGGTTAGCGGGGTCGGTCGGCCTGTCATTGGATGGATGACCAAAAACTCCGTAAGGCACGTTAAGCCGTTGGTCCCGGCTGCATCTGCAATAGTTATCACCCACCTATTCGCACTGGACCCACGTGGTGGGTAATAGCCTATTCTCCCTATGCCAACCACACGCAAGGCTTGTAGTGATTTATCAGTGGGGATATGAAAAGGCTGATGGTGATAATTATAATTGACTAGCTGACCGGGCGTACTTGGAGTACCGCTTACAATAATATGGAATACATTAATGCTATCCGTTCGACAAGATTACAGCTTTTACCATAGTTAGCAATTGTATAAAGGATTCCTCTGTAAATTGATCGTTTAGTAAAGTAACTCTCATATTGACTGCCAGCTAAAAATTTATTACATGGCGCTACAGATTGATAAAAATAGGCAAGCCCTTATTTCATTGGCAGTAATCGATCTTGAAATAACTGTCACTGTTTGGCAGAAATCTTTAGACAGTAAAATCATTCCTCGAAACACATTTTAAAAGACATAATCGTCAAGTCGACTGTCACAAAAACTGCATTTGCTGGTAGGCAATTTAACTCGCGTTCTGCCATCTTTATCATAAAATAAATAAAGAAATAAACATACATGACAAAAATTATCAAGAGTGTAAGAATGAGAAAGTAAGCCTCTTAAATGAATGGATTCAGCCTAGAACGTATGAAGAAACTGAATCTTACTGTATCGTATGTCATAAATGACATAAAACAATGTATAAAATTACACATACTCACCACACATACACACACAAAGACACAAACACACACGCACACATGCCACACAACATCTGCATAACCTTTCTTGATTGCAAATACTAATGCTTAGCTTTAAGTCCTACTAAGAGGATCTAATGATCCTAAGATTATTTTCAGCGTAGATCGTCTGTTTATTGTTTTGTTTTATTTTAGTTCATTCTTTCTTTTTGTTGTTTGCGTGTTCATTTGGCATGACTCTATCCACACCGCGTTTTGTTAATCATATAAGTAGTTAAGGAAGAGTGGAGCCTCTAAACACAGGCAATATTTGCTTAAATGGAGACTCCAATCGACCATTTTGTTAAGAAGGCTATTGTGAAGGAAAACAAATTATTATTATTATTACCTTAATCTATCTATCTACAATTTTTTCCTTTGCTTTTTGAAAACTTGACATCAGTCTGTCCTTTTTATTCCATAATAAGCATGACAAGGGTAGTTTTCCAATTACAGAGCATATTGCGACTCAGTGGCGCACAATGCCGAATTATGCTGATGCTTAATTGAAACGTGAACTAGTTTTCAAATGCACCAGCAGAGTGCGCTAAGTTCAGTGTTGAAAAAAAAGTCAATGTTTGTACCTTCATCCATACTTATATTTATTTTTTAACACAGTTTAAATTAACTATGATTATTTTAAAAATAAACTACAATGAAACGAAAACTTCCAAAAAATTTCAACAATAAATAATATTACTAACGATATTAAATAAATAAAACATTTCGATCAATGCCAACTTAAAGAAAAAATACTTGTTAATTTTCTGTCACTGAGTTGGTACGATTGCAAGCATCACACGAAAACGTTACTTTTGAGAGTACTCGATTGTGCGAAGCGTTGCTGTAGTTGAAACATTCAACGATAGGCATTATTCCGCATAATGCGCTGTAGCGCTGAAAACTTCCAATGACATACTGTTGTCAAGTGAAGGACTGGCATAAAACTCGATACTATGTGGTTGCGGTGCAGGCAGTTTGCATTCGTAGTAATCTGTGGTATTCGTGGATTCTCGTTTCGGATTTCCTGTTGTGTGTGTTTATTTGCGATTGTTTTTCCTATATTTTTACTATTTCGGCTATCTAATATGCCATCGATGTTACCAAATAGCAGACCCCTTATTACCAAGTGCTAGAGAACCTGTGCCACAACCTCCTGAGAGGATCATACTACCAAATTATTCAAGAGCAGCTGAGACACATTCACGCTGCATATTTATACAATATACATGTGATATACAAATAAAATACATTAAGATACAATTATGTGAGAAATAGTCAAAAAATAAGAAGCAAAACTACAGTTTTTATTTTATTCATGATAACACCTACTTTACTAAGTTTTTCCTAATAGTTATTCTTTAAAATCGCATCGAATAAAAATGAATTAGTTGTAATATTAATACAATCCATACTAAGTTCATAGGTTGACCTATGTTTCATTTAATATTAAACATAACCTCAAAAAATATTAAGTTTTTCTGATAATTTTAGTTCTCAGAAGTGTCCGTCAATAATCTTTGTTTTTATAGTACTTGCAATTTCGAACCTAGAAAATAATATTTCATGATTGTTGGTTCTTAGACTAACAATGTATGGACGCAGAACAATGTCCTTTCTGCATACTATTTTCCTGCAATTTATTTTACATTTCTATATAAATGTAGTATATCACTTTTTTGAAGTAAATGCCATACAAATCAGCTGGTACTCATCATGCGTGTCGTGGCGTGAGTTGTCAATTGCGGAAGATGGCTGCATAACAAACTTTATTTTAAAAGTATTTCTTGTTTGAAAAGTAGAATAAAAGAATTTATACAAACCTTGTCCTGACAATTTCGAACACGATAAAAAAAGAATTATGCAATTTAGTTCAGTCGATCGGAAGTACTTATATATTATATACTTTTCGGCGATTCATTTTTATGTATATATATTGATATAGGTGCTTTAAATCCAGTTCAAGACAATTCAATGCAATAAACAATAACATGAGTAAAACAAATCATTTAGTTGTGTGTGACCAGATACCGAACGTGATCGAGGCATGCTGCGCCTTCCTAGAACGACAGCTGGATCCGAGCAACGCAATAGGCATTGCCAATTTCGCGGAGCAACACGCGTGCGCAGAACTCAAACAAAAGGCCAACCAGTTCATCGAACGACACTTCACACAGGTGCGAATCTCGCCTTTATTCTTAACATATTAAGGTAGGCTAATAGCAGCGCGATAGGCATTGCCAATTTCACCTCTTTTCCTTACGTATTGAAGTAGATTAACAGCAACGCGATAGGCATTGCCAACTTCACTTCTATTCCTTACTTTTTTTGGCTTTGTGCTAATACCAATTTTTAGGGCGAAAAATTGCGCTTAAGGGACTTAAAAAGTTTCACCACATGATTATAGGGAACTAAAATATTGATTGATAATAAAAGATCCTCAATTAGTTTTTATTGTTTCAGGTCTGCAAAGAAGAGGAGTTCTTACAGTTGACGTTAACCGAACTCATAGCATTAATAAGAAAAGATGAATTAAACGTCAGAGAAGAGAGAGACGTCTATAACGCGGTCATAGCTTGGGTAAGTTGGTTTTCTACCTTGACATTGCATAGGAATATTATCAGACGTTCAAAATTTTTATCAACCATGTGATTGATAAACGTATTATACCATGAGGCAATGCCTTATGATAAAAATCATTCAATTAACCATGAACTAATTATGCTGACTTTGATAGGTCCTAGTTTGTTCTGCTGGTTAAAGAAACTTAACATTTCCTCTAGAGAAATACTATAAGAATTTGAATCTATAACACTAAGATTAGATTAAAAAGGATGATTCCATCAAACTCAAGCCATCCAACGGTCGAAATAAACTCCACAGCATTATAAAGAAAAACGGGTAGGTATAGAACAGAAATATGTGTTTCATATGAATAATTGAAAGCAATTTTATTTAATATGCACTTACAAAAGTTATTAAATAAGGCTGGACTCATATCAGATAGCTAAACTAGTTCTTGTTCGCGATTTTATTAAATTCTTTGATAAATGTAGTTAATTGTTAGCAACAAACATAATATTATAATGGTGGGGTTTTCTGTTCACGTATGAAATACAAAGATAACAGAATGTGCTCGTCATTTTGATAACGATTATCGTAATATTTACTTCGTCAATGATGCAGTCCGCCCAATGAGAAAATACGATACGATATTATTATAATATGTACAGCAGTGGGGACAATAATAGGCTGATGATGATGATGACATGTACAGTATATGTATTCTATCCATTACCCTAGTATCCCATAACACAAGCCTTATAAGTAAGCACTACTTTGGGGCTAGGCTGATTGGTGTGAGTGTTGGAAATATTTATTTATAAAATATTTGATATAATGTAATGAAATTGTTAGCGCGTTCGGACACACCATTTTGTTGTGCGGCACCATACTTTAGTGTACAATACCGTTCTCCTTTAGAAAGGTGGACATGTTTTTGTTGAAATATTCACGCCCATTATCGGAGCGTAAACTATTTATACGGTCCCCATAACCACTAGTTATTTGGAGTGAAATAACTTATACTTTATTAGTATTTACATGTTTATTATGCAGAGTGGCATGCAGAGGAAAATATAGATGTGATTAGTGTCAATTTTTGAAATTTATAATATGTCAATACTATCCTCATAACGGCTAGGGGGAGTTTTTGGCGGGATTTCATTAAGTGCGGTTGGCGCCTTATTTTTCATTATTCTTAAATTCGTTCATAGGGGATATTGTGAAATAAAATTGGTGTGATTTTGCGTAACTGAAAAATTAGTGGAATCTTTAAAATATACGCTATTCCGGTCAAGTGGACGTGAGAACTTTATTATAGTGTTGACTACCCCACAGAAGCTTATCGAAAAAACCAGCTCGATACATTTCGTGCCAAACATTCCAAGAAACATTAGAATGCGTCACACTGACATTCTAAAGTAAAATAAAAGAAGACTAAGATTTGTATTTATGTATGCGACTGAAGGGCTTGTATCCATAGGCATAAATAAATAAAAAATAAAATAAAACGGCTAGGGTGTTCTCAATGTAAAATCAAATAGGTTTAACGGTATTTTTTTTCAAATATTGGTAGGTAAAGCACGATGAAGACAGGCGGCACTCACGGATGGAGCACATTTTGCAGGCGGTGAGGTGTCAATACCTCACACCTCGGTTCCTTAAGGAGCAGATGAGCACGTGCGCTGTACTGAAGAAAGTACCTGCATGTAGGGAGTACCTCGCCAAAATATTCCAGGTAATAAATATTTTTGACTTTTTATTGTTATATCCAGCGGACATGAACATTTTGCAAGACTTGTTTCTTAAAGCAATTTAATCTATAACTATTTATGATTTTAAGTTTGAATGTTGTGCTTAACTTCAATTGGATAAACATTAAGATAAAAATATGCATGTAGTTTTGAATGAATTGATGTGTTAAATTGGTCTGTATAATAGAAACGTTTTACCTGAAAATAAAACGGTTATTAAACATACTTACCTTATTCGAAGCCTAATAAATACATGAGAGTAGCATACTTGATTTCCGGTCTTAAATCGTGTACAACGCTGCCATGATTGGCTAGCTTCGTCCAATCAGCGTTCACTTCCGGTTCGCGCCATATCCCACCCCTGTATTAGCAAGGCGTTTGTGGGTGCCTAATTTATTCGTCATTAGCATCGTGATTTCCGAACGGAAAAGACAAGAAAAGCATTAGTGCAAAGTATAAAGTGTATGAGTTCTGTGAGTTAGTACATTTTACTGCTCGTCTGTAGAACTTTTTAAAGGTGTGTTCAGATTTCCAGTTCCCTCTTGACAGGATATCTTCCAAGGGACAATTTTCTAGCCAACTCTTCGAAGCTACAGCTGATCTCATGCTGCCCGCTGTAGCAGTTACACCGGCTTCTTGTAATAATTTTCTAATCCAACGTCCTATCACTGTTTTCGACGCTGCTTTAGGTTCACCAATCGAAGTGATAAACAAGTTTTCCGATTTTGCTGTTATCCGTCTGGAGTGGGACAATTCAAACAAGCGTTTAATCCAGTGAACTATGTTTAGCGAATTATTATCCCCCCTGTTTATTTTTAATAACTTCCAACCAGATTGTTGGTGCTTGGCGTTATCAGTTTTAGAACCGAAACTTGGCCAAAATGTCACTTCCGTATCAGTAACAATACAGTGATCAGGGGATACACTCAGAAGAGTTAAATCATGCACCCGTCTACCCGAGGCCAACAACAGCATAGTCGCTGTTATTTTGGATATTTCGTTAAGGTTTGAAGTTCCAGGATCTTTCGTACCGATGTGTTGTATTACTATGTCAATATCCCATATGGGGGCCTTAGCTATTTTTGGCTTGGCCAGTTCGATGGCCTTGAGGACTTGTTTAACCAGCGTATGGGAGCTGAGTTTGATGTGGATATTGCGGATTTATGCACTAATATAGTGCTATAGGCTAAACTTTCCTTCTGATGTAAGTCGGCCAAAAATCTTGCTAAGTGGGATCCTGATGGTTGGCACACATTAACATTGTTTTGCTCAGCCCAAAACATCCATCTTTTCCATGCAGGTTTATAGGTGTTTAAGGTGGATTTACGCCAGCTTGATGAAAGTAATAGTTTCTGATTTTCAGACCAATCACTTAAAATCGAATGCCACCCCCACATCGCCAAATTTCGATCTGCATCATTCCGATCTCTGGCGGTGGTCGGCCCGTTGATGTATCCACCAGTACTTGGGGCAGGTTACGTACTGTGAAGGGGGCTGACAACGCTCTGCGCTTGAGATCTGGCCTCCAGTATACTTTGTCCCACCGAGGTACCGCTAGGAGGTAAGTGCCTTGGGCTTTGTTTAGATGCGCTAGAACTTTGGGTATCAGATGTGGTGGAGGGAATACCCAGGCTAATGGGTAATTCCAATTTCTTCCTAGCGCATCGTGGAAAACAGCTTGTCTGTCTGATTGATCTAAGGTGCAGTAGTTTGTTACAACATGTGCAGTTGCAGAAGCAAAAAGATCGATGACTGGTATGCCCCATTTTGCAAATACAACCTTCATTACCTCCGGAAGGAGATGCCACTCCGGTGTCGATTTCGAACGAGACAGGTGATCTGCATCCGAGTTGAACATGCCCGGGATGTAATAAATTGATAGGTGAATTTTGTATTTGTCCAGTATTTTGAAGATTCGAGAGGTTACTTCCGTAAGAAGCCGAGATTTCGTTCCCCCTTCGTTTCGAAGATAGGCTACGACGGTCTTGTTGTCGCACTGTATCTGTACTCCCTTTGAGTTTAGGAGCAGACAGCGATCTTCTAAAACTCTTAGAATGGCGATCATCTCTTTGATGTTGCAGTGTAACTTGCGTTCCGAAATCTCCCATTGGCCAGTTAGGCTTTCGATGTCCAATTTTGATCCCCAACCAAGATCGCTCGCATCCGTCGTTAGATAATGCGATGGAGGGGGTCTGTGGATCGGAGAAGATTTCCTGCAGTGATTTAGCCACCATTCCAACTCTGTTCGAGCAGTTTTTGGTAATTGAATAGCTTTTACTGTTCCCGTCTTGAGAAGTGAATTCACTTGAAACTGCAACTCTCGAAAATTCAATCGTCCTCTCGGGACTGGAAAACTGGCAAAGTTCAATATTCCGACAATTTTCTGCAGCTCTGGGAGTCTTACTTTTTTCTTGCTTAGAATTGCAGCAACTTGTCTTTCTATTTTTGCTGCTAATCTGTCCGGTAAGTACTTTATGTTCCTTATAGAATCCCACATAATGCCGAGGAATTCTAGAACATTTTGTGGTTCGTAAACGGATTTTTCTTCGTTTATTATCCAACCCAGGTACTTCAAGAGACTTGTTGCCATTGACTCGTGCTCGCGCAATGTTTGTATGTCTTGATTTACAAGATAAAAGTCGTCGAGGTAGACTAGAAGCGGTACCCCCCTTTCTCTGAGTTGCTGAGCTATCCAATTTGATAGCGATGCGAAAGTTTTCGGGGCGGAAGTGAGGCCAAAAGGTAAGGCTGTCATTTCGTACAGTTTTCCTCTGTAAATCAGGCGGAGAAACCTTCTGTGGCTGGGAGCGACGCTCGCGTGAAAATACGCCTGATGTAAATCTATTTTTGCCATCCAGTCGCCATCTTGCAGGAAGTCTGGTACTCTGTGCACGTTCACGAGACGAAATTTGTCTGCACGAACGTACTTGTTCAGTTGTTTTAGATTGAAAACCGGTCTTAAACTTCCGTCGCTTTTGGGTCTTAGGAATAATGTCGAGACGAAACTTGGTGCGTTTGCAGTTGGTACGATTATGTGTTGATCGAGCAATTTCTGAATAATTTGATCCATGTCTGGCGACTGAGCCGTGTGACTGCTGCAGTATTTTGGCAGGCATAAAGGTGGTTTTGCCTTGAAGGGAATATGATAACCGGTTATTATATTTAGGATGTAGGGCGGTGCCCCAAGATCCTCCCAGTGGTGGATGTATTTCTGCAACTGACCGGCTCGAAAAGGCATGACGTAGTCAATACCTCTTCCTGGGTTGACCTCTCCTATCCCGTTAGGATAAGGGAGAGCGTGCTCGACCTTCTCGCTGTGATCCCCCCCCTCGAGTTGTCTGAAAGTTACCGTGACGTCCACGAGGCCCGTTCTTATTGCTTAATCGGTTTCCTTGTGTGGGTTGAGACCGTGGCTTATGAACCCTCTGATGATTAGCAGTAGGTCGAGATGAGCCCGGGGCTGTAGTTTCGATTCGCTGAGTTGCAAAATGGCGGTCTTTTTGTTTAGACCAAAAAACATTCTCATTCCTCCAGCTTTTTCGATAGCGGTGCTAAACTTCTCACTGTCAAATAGATTGGAACAGGATGGTGGGATTTCACGTAACGCACTCTTATGATAAGCATCCTTTACTGATGCTAGGATAGTCTCCTATGTTGCACAAGTTCAACTCTGTGCCCACACACTAATTGCAGTGAATCACTTTTGTATAATCACTGTTAGTGAATACTTCGTTAAGCTTGAGGTAAATCTCGTTGTAACTAATATCCTTCGCTGCATAGGCCCACATAAGAATTTTTCTAATTTCGGATTCCAAAACGTCCTTTTGTTTGAGTAACGAAAAAGTAACTGCTGCCAAAGCTTTTTCCATATTTATACAAAACTTAGAGCTATCAAACTGTTTAATCTCATCATTGGGGTCGAGTTCGACAAACCCGGGGGAGTGTGCATACTGTTTTTGAAGTTCGGCGTAACGAACGTTGTTCCACTCCGGAGAGTCAAAATGTTGCAGCTCTTTTAGCTGCTCGAGGTGTTCCCTAGAAGCTTTTGGTACGGACGGTTCTTTAAGCTTTGTTACTAAAGTAATATTAAAATCTGTGTTGCTCTCCGTAGACCCATCAGGTTGAGAGGCTTCTGTTTGCTCAAATAAATCGCCACTAATATTAGAGTCGATGCAAGACTCAGCATATTCGTTATTATCAGTTATAGGTGATTCGAAACAAGATTTATTCAACTGACTTTTTAGGTTATGAATTTCATTGATTAAATAATCAAACTTACGGTTTCGCCTGCTATGCTTACGATTTTTCTTCCGGCGGCAGCCCAATGAAGAAGACGAAGACGTAGAACTGCTACTGGAACTATCCGAACTGGATGACCTTGCTCTTTTTCTTTTCCTCTCTTCCGTTCTGTATTTTCCCTGCTCGCCTCCTCCATTCCTGTCAAATCCTTACTAGTAGATGGTTGACTTTCCATACCTTCAAACATATATATCAATTTGAGTCCATATTTAGTATAGATTATAAAGATGTTATAAAGCACACATAATTGTAAAAGGTAGGTATCAAAAGTCGGTATTATATTTATATAATCACGATTATTATTTAAAATATAAAAAGAAAATATTTAAAATCGTTCGTAAATCAGTAACGGAAAGTAAAAGGAATGTTTTTCTTATAATACACGCCATTTTACATGAAAAAAATACATATTTTACCTTTACGGCACAACACTGTAAAATTGAAGGAAGTTTTCTTCCTATTTTTCATCGGAATCGAACGGTAACACTGTTAAAAAATCGCAAAACCTTTACAAAAGGTTTTTAGATAAAATCTTATATGAGCAAAGGAAAAAATATTGTACTTTACCTTCGTTGCACACGACTTACTAAATTAATGTTTGCTTTTTCGAATATACGAATACACTTTTTCACAGAACTCATACACTTTATACTTTGCACTAATGCTTTTCTTGTCTTTTCCGTTCGGAAATCACGATGCTAATGACGAATAAATTAGGCACCCACAAACGCCTTGCTAATACAGGGGTGGGATATGGCGCGAACCGGAAGTGAACGCTGATTGGACGAAGCTAGCCAATCATGACAGCGTTGTACACGATTTAAGACCGGAAATCAAGTATGCTACTCTCATGTATTTATTAGGCTTCGAATAACGGTACAGTACTGTTTAATAAAAATATAGTAAAATTTTCTTGATATAGGTACAGTCGACTACTTGGATTTTATAAATGTATTATATTTAATTCCCGAGAACATTGTATCAGTTGCTCGAATGTTACTTGCATTTATTATTTTCTCATAGAGGAAAAAAGGTAGTGTCCACCTAGTATTTTGAAGCCATCGCACGCTCTCAAGTACTTCTTTGCTGTCTTAGTAAACAATCTACTATTTGTATGACATAGGTAATACAGTAATAAAGTAGTTTCATATGACAAGTCTCATTATACCTTGCCATCATATTTCATTACAAACTAATATTTTCCTAATTAGAAGATGGAAAACTGGACATTTTAGTTCATATTGTTCGGTTGCTAGCCTATAAGCGATTATGCTAAAAAAACTACGATTTTTACACTCGTTAATCAAAGCTAGCATGTACGAAGCGTGATTCATTCAACAATATTTCTTTCCGCCAAATGACTGCGCAAAGCTGTTATTTTCTTTGATAACTCTTGTTACGGCAACAAAGTAGTGGGAAAATTCCGAAGCCTGAAGAGCATGCAATGTCACCTAGATACACTTGAAAATGACAATATTGATATTATCGACGTGTCATTTATTTATTGTACCTTAAATTTTTTTGTATTTCTTTTCGTCAACTAGTACATTGAACTCATTGTTTCACTAACATGCATGACGGAGTTATGTTGGTAAATATGGATACGCCATATAAAACATAAATAAGGATATAAATTTAAACAATATGTTAATTAATGTAAATATTATAGTAGCCTACGTCGCAAATTATGCAGAAAGCTTGACTGAATTAATTGACTTAATGATGTTACACATCATTACTACTAATAGTAAAATTAATAACGATGATTATATCTCAACAGTATTTAAAATGTAACTTCATTATGAATGTTTTTGCAATAATGCGCAGGTATTTAGTTCAGTGAAATCGCAACTTCGAAGATCTAGAAGACTAAAGTAACGAGATTGCACTTTTCTTAAATTGTACATAATAATGTTCCGTATTGCTCAAATCGTTTTTCTCAAAAAATAAAAATTACTCAAATCTCAAAATGACATGATATTTCATGAAACATTATATAAAATGAAAATTCTGATGTTACAGATTTGTTTGTATGACGATACGTAAAATGGCCACTTATGACACATCTTTAAATTTCAAATTATAAAATTCATAAAATAAACATATTTAAATGTTTCGCCCAATATTCCCATTTTAAAAGAATCCCTACGACCCCGCGAGCGTGTTTGTGTGTACTCTTAAGTATTAACATTCACCTCGGTTTTGAAAATGTGCTTTATTCAAATTGACTTGTTGAAAGTCTTTTTTGAATCGTCCAATATTTTTTTCCTACCATTATCTGTATGTATTACTAGTGGCCGTCCGCGACTTTTAAGCCCACGTTAAACTCTTTTCATTTTTCGGGTTATATATGACACTCAAAGTACGTAATAGAAAGTCTATTGGTAATAACAATCAAAATCTGTTTAGTAGATCAGAGTCTCTACACCTCACAAACATTACCTCTTCATAATTTTAGTCATGGAGCTTAGAGAGAAGGAGAACGTTCGCTACGTACTAAAGCATTAGCCCGCCTGACCCTGAAAATTTGTAGAATTTATAGTTCATTTTTCAGCCACCAGCCGCACTGCCGTCGCTAAGTAGTATCTGTAAAGTTAGCTTTTTATGAGTACAAGTAGATGAAGTTAGTTAAATATTGTACAAATTTTCTTCGGGGCATTAGTCATTTCAAATTAGCCCGCTTTTATTGAGACAATTTAGCGATCGCAGCGCCTCACTTATTTTGTCCATATTTCTGGGACACTATTTTCTACAGCGATCGTTCTCTGTATCTCTAACCTCCATGATCTACTATATAAAAATAAGTCGGGTTTTCCTTCCTGACGCTATAACTCCAGAACGCACGAACCGATTTCCACGGTTTTGCATTCGTTGGAAAGGTCTCGGGCTCCGTGAGGTTTATAGCAAAGAAAATTCAGGAAAAATTAAAAAAAAATCTTCTTTTAATCACCAAACGAAATGTTACATAAAACGAAGCTATCTGGTGGCGAAACGGAGTTCGCGGGGTTTGCTAGTTTTAGTATAGATAGATGAACAACGCCATCTGTTAACAGGATCTGACACTACACAAGAAGCCGGTGGTGAAGGAGCGCCGGCCGAACACGCCGCGCGTTATATACGTGTCGGGGGGCTACTTCCGGCACTCGATAGCTGTTTTCGAGGCGTTTAATCTGGACGACGGCGCGTGGAGCACGCTTCCTCAACTCACGGTGCCTCGTTCAGGGCTAGGAGCTGCCTTCCTCAAGGTAAATATAACTTTCGAAAGTTTGTATGGATGTTTGTGTCTCTCTCACGTTAAAACGGTTGAACGGATTTAGATAAAATTCGGCACGTATATATTTTATTACCTAGATTGACACACAGGAAACTTTTTATCCTGAAAAGCTTTAAGATTCTTGTGGGATTTTCAAAGAACTAAAGTTAACGCGGACGAAGTCGCGAGTAGCCGCTACTTGGTCAACTTGCGTATGATTTATGACCGAGGCGTTCAATCTGGACGATGGCGTGTGGTCACTGTGTAAAAATGATTATATGCGATGACTTGTGATGTAGTTTCTTACAAATTTCGTTTCTTTTTAAAACAAAATTATAAAAATAAATTTGATGCATGTAACTTGCCATGACAAAGGATTACCATTAGCTGTATTGTAATGTGAATGTTATGAATCTCTTGCCAAAGAACCCCTCATGTCAATGTGTGAATCTGACTCGCACGCATCCGTTTTTCTAGTGCAGTAATTGCGTTTATTCTTTGTAGATATTTTGCATCATAGATTTCGTTACCTAGTTTATAAAGGGTGACTCAGACTTAACGTATACAATGAAGTTATCAGCGAGCACGAATATGCTCAGGATTCAGTTTAGCGTTAGCCTGCGAGCATCTACATCACCCTACACTTCGTTTATTTCGCCGCGACTTGCTCAAACTTCACAGCTGCTATTAAGTTTACATCGCACTATAGTCATTCATACTAATATAATAATGGACAGTCAATTGTATTTTACGTCTCATTTTCATAAAATTACAGCCAAAGCGTATAAAATGTTGGGTTTCATATTTAGGCAGGGCAAAGATTTTAAAAACATAGAAACTCTATTACTTTTATATAACAGTTATGTAAGATCTCAACTAGAGTACGCTTCAACGGTATGGAATCCGCAGTACTTAACACACATAAGCGCGATAGAAAAAGTACAGAATAAATTCATTAGAAGGATGAAATACAAATACAATGATTTTTGTGAGGATGACGTTCGATCCCTGGCACACCGAAGAGAGTGCAGAGACTTGGTCTTGCTTCACGAGGTTATAAATGGTTTTGTCGATTCTTCATATCTTTTAAGTAAAATTTTGCTAAAGTGTCCAAGAGCAAATCTACGAGCACGTGATACGTTTTGCATTCCCGCGGGTCGGACTAATTATGCAAGTAATCGCTACATTGTGCGAGCTATGAAATCATATAACTCTAAATATAGTCACATTGATATATTTAATCTTAATTTTTTGAAATTTAAAAAACTAATTTGTAACTCGTTTAAGGCATAACATTTTTATTTCTTTTTGTTTTGTTTATGTTCATTATGATAACAAAAATTGTTTCTTTTTTCTCTCGTGTTTATTAGACACTATGTGAGATAATTAATAGTGGAAATTACCTAGGCCATTGTTTAAACTAATGTTATATTTTTTATGTAAAAATTAATGCTGTTATTTCCCTAAAAATAAATAAATAAATTCGAATATGTGTTTGTTTGTCATCTCTTTATTACTAAGCCGTTGAACCAATTTTGATGAAGTTTAGCAGATAGATAGTTTCGAGTCTCGGGAAAAGATATATGATAGTTCTTATCCAAGAATTTACGCTTAAAAGGGATGAACGCTCCACGCTCGAATAGGGTGAATAGGGTTGCCAACCCTGCTATATAATATAGTGGTGTCGATTCTGGCTTGATTCTCTAAACTTACAACTAAATTTAACATAGTCTCTCCCTTTCATTTTGTATGCACTGTTGTCAAATGTAAGTTTAAGTTTAGAGAATCATGTCAGAATCGACACCACTATCCTACTATATTCGTGAATCAAATACTATATTTAAAAAAAACATAGTAGGCGAGACTACTATATTTTGCTTAAAGCAGACTTTTGCCAGTAAAATCTTTCATAAAAATAAAAATTTAATTATTAACACATAGAGCAGCAAACATAATTATTCATTTCAATAATAAAGTAAATAATATTTTTTTTTTGCCATCTACTTTATTTTTAGATGTAACAGCTTCGAAAATACTACATTTGATAGATAAAAAAAACGAGCGTGCCTTACAGTAGTCGCGTATGATGTGTTACATTTCAAACCTCACCTTATATTAGTAAGAAAAGATATAAAACCTACTACAAAAGGAATAAGCCATTTGAACATTGTTCTAAAATCAAATCAAATAGCGCGCGCTTCCCAAACTTCCTGTTACACACTTCCGTCCCACTTCACGTAATCACTCCTACAGATTGCACGAAATCGAGAGGAAAGATGTTACACATCAAAAAGTGTTTTATTGTTACCGCAGGGTTTCTATTACGCGGTGGGCGGTCGGAACACATCGCCCGGTTCGTCGTACGACAGCGACTGGGTGGATGTCTACAACCCTGCCAATGAACTGTGGAGGCCTTGCAGCCCCATGTCTACGCCTCGGCACAGGGTACGTTATACTTAGGCGATTTAGATCAATTTAATAACACGTAGATTGAAGAGCTCGATGGCGCAAGTGGTTAGCGTGTTCGGCTGCGATCGTTAAAGTTAAGCTACTTTCGCAGTGGTCGGTCATATGATGGCTAATCAAAAATTTATTATCTCGAGCTCCTCCGTGCTTCGGAAGGCACGTTAAGCCGCTGGTCCCAGCTGCGTCTGCAGTCGTTAGCATCCACCAATTCGCACTGGGCCCGCGTGGTGGGTCATGGCCCAATCTCCCTATTCCATCCATAGGGAAGGCCTGTGCCCCAGCAGTGAGGACATTAATAGACTGATGATGATGATGGATAACTCGTGTCATTGAAGAAATTAATCGCAAATGAAGATGTAAGACATTCTGTTCCTCCCGTACGTGCTGTCCTAAATAACGTGCGAGAGAGAAAGAATGTCTTGCATCGGCATATTCGATTCCTTTTTTTTTATGGACTCGCACATCTTTATATATATAAAGATGTGCGAGTCCCGGGAAATAATTATAATAATAATTTATTTATATGGGAAACCAATTTTTCGCCCCGCCCTCTTGATTGCAGTTTGCATGGAACCACTTTTAAGCGCAGTTCGTATACCAAATTATTTCTAATTCGTTCAACAGGTTTAATATATGCTGGATAAAATCCACAGTTGTCACCTAGTTCAGTTTCGAACAATGAGTACAGTATCAATTCAGGCATTTGTGTTTTAATGAAACACAATAACATTATCAAAGCCGATAAAAGTACATACAGTAAAGAAATATTCTTTTGTAAATTTCATTTTATTAATATTATACTTTTTTGCAGGTAGGAGTAGCGGTAATGGACGGGTTATTATATGCCGTCGGGGGTTCATCGGGCTCTGAATATCACAAATCTGTCGAATGGTAAATACATTGGTCATTTTTATTTTTTATATTAGGAGAAAACCATTTACATTCAATTACATACTTAAGTTTGATGCTTATGTACAAGCCCTTCAGAAAATGAAATTTTAGAGAAAAAACCCGTTAGGATGCAGTTTTATTTTTATTATCATCCTTATCCGTGAAAACTAGAATATTAAAAAAAATCGTTACAAAGAAGGCTTTTCCCTGTAACGATAAGACTCTTCGTCGCATCCGGTTGTATTTGTTATTGATACCCATCAATCCGTACAGGGTTAACATGGTGGGCTATGGTCCGTTCTCATCAGTCAGTTCCATCTATAGGAAAGGCCTGTAATTAGGTTGATCACATTAGGAATTTAAAAAATCATGACATATCTCAGACTTTGTATAAAGAATGGATATTTTGTCACAGAACACAAACATATTTTGATTGTAAATTTCTTATTTACATTTCATCCCATGCATTTTGTTGTTATTTTAGCACTCCTTCCACAAAAATTGAGATTTAAGACTCTAGCAGTGGCAACACTGAAGCTGAATTTAAATTACGAAATTAGTGACATGAAAGAAGTTCCGTAGCCATTAATTTCATAAAAAATTTCGTTTACAAGTCTTTGCCAAGTAGACTTCCAATCGCCTAACTAAAGTGCATCAAAAAACGTCCGAGCGGTGTTCTACATCAACTTATACAGATAGTTAACACATTTGTTCAAGTTAATACGTTATGTCGTAGCAGTGAGTTTCAATGTCAATTGTATACAAGCGAGAATTTCAAACACACCTTTTTGAAGTGAAACTTCTTTACGTACGCTTGACTTGGGGAGTAAGCTGGCGAATGCGTTACGCGTTACGAAAAAAAGGCGAACGGGAGTTGAGTGGGGGATATAGGCAAAAGGAAGCAGTGCGCGCGCATGTTTTCTTGCTCTTATAGCTAGTAAATGAAATATGTATATGTACATACATGTACATATTGTACACACACATATATTTAAAGAGTGGAGGGCTGATAACCTGAGACACGGGTTTTTTCCTAGTTTAGGTGTCAGCCCGCCATAATTAGATAAGTGACCTTTTTACTTAGTGTTTTTAATGGAATAAGAAACTGATTATGGGGAGAAATAAAGAATTATTATTATTATCTAATATATAAAATTCTCGTGTCGCGGTGTTTGTGGTTAAACTCCTCCGAAACGGCTCGACCGATTTTCGTGAAATTTTATATGCATATTCGTAGGTCTGAGAATCGGATCTAATCTTTTTTTCATCCCCCTAAATTTTAAGGGTAATTCACCCCTAAATATTTTTTTTTTCAATTTTAAATATATATTTTTTAATGGTACATCATACAAAATTACATACAACCCAAAATTTTCACCCTTCTACCCCTACCCCTATTTTTTTATGGCGGTACGAAGCTAGTTATATATATGCATACAGATACAGCTAAAGAAGTTTCACTTTAGTCTTGTGGTTATAAGTACACACGGCGTAATTTTGCTTCAGACTCTTTTTGAGCGTGATTGTGAGTCTTGTTTCTATATATACGTCAATGGTTAACACGTGAAATCGCTAATGTATTTTATGTCACGGCACAACTTTTATGCCACTAATTTCATTCAGTGAATTAAGCCTAATATACGTTGTTTGTCCAGTTATGACCCAGAACGAGACACGTGGAGTTCTGTAGCATCAATGGGTTGCGCGCGACTCGGAGTTGGAGTGGCCGTAGTGAATCGCCTTCTATATGCGGTAGGGGGATTCGATGGCGCTAGGAGAGTTGCTTCGGTGGAATGTTACCATCCCGAAGACGACAAGTGGATGGCGCGAAGCAATATGAGAGCAGCAAGGAGTGGCGCTGGTACGTACATTAATAGTTATTGGTGTCGATTCTGGCATGATTCTGTATATTTAAATTTGAAAACAGTGTATCCTTTATAGGTCACAGTGAATATAGTCCCATTAGGACTGCAAAGCCCCAAAAATAAAAAATAATAATAATAAAAACTCTACTTTTACTTTAAACAATTGATAAAGACGGAATAATAACTATTTTTTTTTTCTCTGAGGGTATGTGTAAAGGAAGGTACTGTTTAAAAGTTATAAGTAAATTCAAATTTAATATCTATATATACCAGGCGCGGTCACAGCCTGAAATTTTGGAGGGGGTCACTCACTACACTAATACAAAAAAAACCGGCTAAGTGCGAGTCTCACTCGCGCACCGAGGGTTCCGTACACACCTGAATTTTCAAAAAAAATTGTTATTATATGATATAACTAAAAATTTGCGGTTTTCGCAATTTTTCCCTTATCTGTACTGTAAGACGTTATTTTGTACCTAATTTCAAGATTCTAAGTTCACGGGAAGTACCCAGTAGGTTTTGATTCCGTGCGAGTTTCGAAAATTGCGGCATAAACCGTTTGTGTATGCATCTTTTGATTGCTTTGGTTTAGAAGTTTGGTTTTTTCACAACTCCAAGGGACATTACACCTGAGTATTAGATATGAATTACAGTTTGATACCTCCACGCGTTCCTGAGAAAAACGGTCTTGACAGACGGACGGACGGACAACAAAGTGATCCAATAAGGGTTCTGTTTTTTCCTTTTGAGGTACGGAACCCTAAAAATAGGTATCTGGAATAAAATAAACATTATTGCACAAGCCACAATTTTATGTTATACATTACTTATAAAACAAAATGGAAGTCGTCTTCTTGTATTTGCGAATCGGGTGATAATATTTGAGATGTCTGGTACTAGTTCTGGGTGAATGTTTAGAAGTGCTAAATCTGTTAACCGCTATTCTAACAAGTTAGCTCTCAACCATGTTTTTAACTAAGTAGACAGCCTTTATCTTGAATCACATTATTAGAATATTGTTATACAATCTTTATCATAATGACGCATATCGATTTTGCTAGGATTACCAAAACTACGTAGTTCGGTTCCTTGTTTCGAAACTAGTACCAGATGTAATTTCCAAGTTATTTCGGCCATCGTACGTTGTTCATAATAACACCACTAGATGTCAGCAAACTATAAATTTATCGCTGTTAGCGAGATAGCTAGAAATTTCCTTTTATTATTTGGCAAATTTTTGAGATTTTCAATTTGACCTTAAATGGGGGGGGGGGGGGTCATGTGGCTGCACGCGATAAATTTGGCGTAAATAAGTGCTTTACAAGGATGGGGTTTGTTTTCGTCATTGGTGGTGACGGAAAGCGACACCGTATAAGCTCTTACTGAGTTGAACAAAATCCCAGTTCCTGTTACGGTGACAACGGAATCGCCGAAGTCCGTAGAGCAAACATCCAGCTGTACCAACTCTCAAATGGACGTAAATAAAGTCCCAGTTCCCAGTACGGCGAGGGCTGAATCACCGAAGCCAGTAGCCCAAATCCCCACCAGGGGCAAGCGTATTGTCAATGCATCGGTTAAAAAGTAGTTTTAAGTGTTTTATTGCGTTTTGTGTTGTCGTGCGCGTTCACCGCATTTTGTTCCCTTTCTTTTACACTTTGTTGCACTTGTAATCGTTCAGTGGCTCCTCTCATTATAATGTGTCCTATCTCTTCAATTTGTAATCATAATTATATTAAAACTTGGTTTGTTTATCTCCATTCGGATAGACATAAATTAAAGGTATTTGTTTTTCTAACATTGTGAACATGATTATCTGACATTGATATAACATATCACCAAATTCTCACGTCTCAATTAGTTATAAATTTTTCATTACTGGTAGGCATAAGTTTCAATGTTCATACAGCCATTCGATATCAAACCACGCACAGTTGTTCTGACGTGAGGGAATGAAGCTTCATGACTTTGTTTTACAATTTTTATTTGCTGCACTGCTCTTTGAGCAGTCACCCAACACACATAGCAAACAAGCCTATATTAGTTGAAAGAGAAATAGTTTTCAAGATTATTTTTCTAGTAAAATTTTATTTAAGATCAATTGAATAGCGCATTGCATAAAATATACATTTGTAGTAGTAATAGGAGATACATCATGTAGATAATTCACTAGACATCAAAGGCTTTAGAAATAAGATGCCATTTCAATATATTTTTATTTAAAGCTGACTAAAAAAATATTCGTTAACAGTCTATTTTTGTTAACAGGCGTTGCGGCATTAAATCAGTACATTTACGTAGTGGGCGGCTATGACGGGTCGCAGCAGCTGTCATCAGTAGAACGCTACGACACGGAACGGGATATTTGGGAGCCAGTAGCGCCCATCACTAAGGCTCGATCAGCTCTCTCACTCACAGTACTCGACAACAAGCTCTACGCCTTAGGTATGTAGCAATTAGATGTAACTACATAACGGACCAAATTCAAAGAGATGTTGTGTATGGGTTTAAGCTAAGAAATCAAGTGAAGCCATTAGCGCCATTATCAACAGATAGACAGAAATCATCTACTTACACAGCCGAGGGGTTATAGCATAAACTGACGTGTACCACGAAGTTCTGATATTCTTTACTAGATGGCAGTAGTATCAACTTTATTTGTATTTTATCATTTATGCTAGTTAACTGAGTTAAGTGCAATTTTTTATAGGTATATAAAACAATTTAAATTGTATTGGGCACCGGGCAGGTTTAAATGAGTACTGAAAAAAAAAATTAAGATGGTCACGCTTTTACGGATCTATGCCCCAAAAATAAAGTCAAACTGACATCAGAGCCTCTGGTGCTGAGTGGTTAGGACCATTGAGAGACGCCAGTGCAACATTCGTATAAACTTAGCACAGTTTATACATTGAATTAAATTCAGCAGTTCTTCTTTGTATTTTGTTCGTGCACTACATCTACGTAGTGGCTGCTACTACCTGTAGAGCCCATTGGTATATCAATAATCGGATATGCGCTGTTGTATTCCTTCCTGTGCTAGGGCAAGATTATAGAAAACTAATTTATTAATTCCTCTAATAGTTTGTTAAGAAGCATGAGTAAATATTTTATTTTAATCACACTATGGTGTCGATTCTGACATAATTCTTTAAACCTAAACTCAAATTTGAAAACAGTGTATCCTTGTCATTCTCTATACAGAATGAAAAGAAGAGACTGATGTTAAATTTTGTTTAAAGTTTAGAGAATCATGTCAGAATTGACATCACTGAATTAATTACAAGTATGATTGAATTATACTGTACTGTATTGATTTATAGTGTATAGATATGATAGCTTACTGCTGATAATACCTAAATTTAAAGAATTTATGATCTAATTTATATTTATCTATTACAGCCTGATTAGTCTGAAGGTGCGTTCAGACTATGCTATACTATTATAGCATATATATAAATTATAGCCCAGAGCACAAAAACATCGCGCACCATATAAGTATACCATGGTGTGAACATGTTCACACCACGTTTTACTATTGTACGGGGTTACTATAGCGTTTTCTGAACGTATTTTAATCATAGAGGTATAAGAATAGAGTGGGGAAGGCGGCTTTAAAAGTGTCTGTCTAGTAGAAAGAGAAAGAAGACGAGAGACCGCTAGCTATCTCTCTCTCTCTTGTGACGCATGGCATCCAATGGCATCACATCGAAATAGTAAGATGCTTACGGTTGGCAATGCGCATGCGCGATTAGAGAGAGAAAACTAGCGGTCTCTCATCTTCTTTCTCTTTCTATTCGAGGGACACTTCCACTTGTAGTAGAGTCTATATCTCCCCTACTCTATTCTTATATCTCTATGATCTTAATACACATAGGAATGCTATTTTATTTGAATCTTCCACTTCTTACAGGTGGCTACGACGGCACCGCGTTTCTAGACATCGTCGAAGTGTACGACCCGGCGACGGACACTTGGCAACCGGGAGTGCCATTAACGTCACCACGTTCCGGACACGCGGCCGCGGTCTGTTACACCCATGTAGCCGCCCCGGATGAACGAATACCACCCGCCCCCACGAGACTGTCCCGACGAACCCCGCACCCTGCAGACCAGAATACGAGAGTAGAAGATGTTCCGACAGTCAATAACATCATTGGCACCATTGCGCACAACGCGAACTCTTAGCATCGCCCCGCCCTCCCACGAGGGCGCCACCGAACTTAGTGTTAACAGTGAAAACAAGTGCAAAGTATGGAAACAACGTTCAGTGAAACTTGTGGTGATGAAAGTTTCTTAATCGTGAAAATAGTGAATGTTAAGTACCTACCAACGTTGTTTGGCAATGTGCGAGTTTCTAACTTGAATCAGTATAATTATAATATATGTATACTTCTTACATAATCAACCCACAAAATATATCTCATTTTCTGAGACACCATCCTGCAAGGTTTTTAATAACAAAAATAAAATAAAAAAATCATGTTTACACCCTTGAGTTTAGAAACTCGCACTATGTGCACAATTATCACACAGTTGAGAGTGAAAAACTTCGGTCACGGTAGTGCACAGGATTGCACATGAGTGATGTTAGTTGTAAACAGAATGGAGACGCCATGTATATAAATCGAAAGGAATGTTGTACTCTAAATCTCAAGTTAGGTGAACTTTGATATAGCCATAAATTTCAGTACATACTTTAACTGTGTTGACCCAATGTTGTTTACAGACTTTTATATTTTCTTTTGATCCTTTATCGAAGGAATACCTAGAGTAACTATCGCTATAAATATTATTTATAGATATAAATATTTATCATTCCCAGCACACAGTACACCTTCTATTTAATTAATATAGACAATGTATTCAATTCCAACCTATTTTGCGAGTTATGTTTTTTATTCTATTAAATCCCATCTACCCAAAAACCGAACTTGCTACACGGAAGTAGCAAGCCAATAAACTGGGCCACTTGGTACCTCAGAACACTGATTTTATTAGAGATTTGATTTTCTGGGGTGGTTGGTTTATTTGCAGTTGAGTGTATATTTCTTAGCATAGCAATTACATTTCCAACAGAATACCTACTACAATATAGTTAAATGTATAAATATTCCAAATTGTAGTTAACTTCTATTATGTAAAGATTGTAATAATATAGATGCTCCAAAAGAGATGTTCCGAATTTGTATGCAGGCTGGTATTCGGCCTACCCCCAAGACAAGTTTTAAGAGATAAAAAAGTGTATTTTTTGAATATCATGGGACAAAACTATAATTAAAAATCACTCTCAAAAACAGCTGTTTATATTCTGGTGCAAATCTCAAATTAAAAAAGTAACACATTTATAGTGTCGATTCTAGCTTAATTCTCTAAACCTAAAATTAAATTTTACAACAGTATCCTTGTCATTCTCTATACAGAATGAAAAGGAGAGACCGATGTTAAATTGAGTTTTAAGTTTAGATAATCATGTCAGAATTAAATAAAAAAAAAGGTATATTTAAGAGCCTCTTGGTTAAATCTTTGTTCAATATATAATTTATCGTGGGGAGTTTCGAAGTACCAAAATAGAACGTCTCCTTTAGTGATAGAGCAGCTTAGCAGTGTTTCTCTGTACAAAAACATCTTATATCAATTTGAATATAGTGAGCTACAACACTGCTTATCTAGTCTGCTTAATCTTCCTTGATTATAAATGCGCAATGCGGTTATTTAGAAAGATTGAATGACTTGAAAGCAGTATCTAAGAATTTCTATTATTTGATAATTGTAACTGTAAAGTATTTGTATATAATTTATTATTAATTGTTATTCATAAGGACAATAAAGACTGTTATGGGAGTAAACAATAGTGTTTTATTTGTAACGCAATTGGTAGAAAAGTGACTGTAATGTAAAGCTATGCAATCAACAGACGTACTTATGACATTATTTAAGAATTCGTCGTAAGGGTGACCATAAAATTCATGGAATCAGGATTTCTACCATTCAAAGACATAAAAACTTGTTCACCTTAAATATTATAATTATTCTTAAGATATGATGTAAGCAAATGCCTCATGACATGAATAAAATAGAAGCAAATAGGGAAGCATTTCGTCTTCGGGAGGCACATTAAGCCGTTGGTCCCGGCTGCATCTGCAGTCGTTAGCACCCACCAATCCGCACTGGGCCCGCGTAGTGGGTCATGTCATAGCCCAATCTCCCTATTCCATCCATAGCAAAGGCCTGTGCCCCAGCAGTGGGGACATTAATAGGCTGATAATGATGTGGGAAGCATTTGTTGGCCACCATTTAAACACTAAATCGATCAAGTGACCTGTACCTGACTTAGGGTTTCAAATTTGGCTTGTTTTCAACTCGGGAACTGCTTATGACGTTGAGCAATCAAATCCGGAACTCTGGAATGAAAACGGGAGTTGTCAGCTTTTAAAAATTAAGTAAAAAAACCTTTTTAGTTATAATTTTTATTATTTTTAAAGCATGTAACTGCTTGATGTTTAAATCTAAAGAAAATATAACTAGAAAATATTCCACGCGGACCAGGCAGCAGACGGGACTCGAACCCGCACCCTTCGCAATCCGGGCGAATGCACTGACCAATTATGCTACCGCGGCCCTCACGGACCGCGTCGAAATTCCTTCTAGCTATTCTTAAGCTGCAAGGCAGCGCCATCTCTTCGCATTATAGGTTAACCCACAATGTCAAATGAATACTTTTACAAGTATTAAACATTTGAAAGAAGAAATAGCAATTATAGTTATAATTTTTATTATTTTTAAAGCATGTAACTGCTTGATGTTTAAATCTAAAGAAAATATAACTAGAAAAAATTCCACGCGGACCAGGCAGCAGACGGGACTCGAACCCGCACCCTTCGCAATCCGGGCGAATGCACTGACCAATTATGCTACCGCGGCCCTCACGGACCGCGTCGAAATTCCTTCTAGCTATTCTTAAGCTGCAAGGCAGCGCCATCTCTTCGCATTATAGGTTAACCCACAATGTCAAATGAATACTTTTACAAGTATTAAACATTTGAAAGAAGAAATAGCAATTATAGTTATAATTTTTATTATTTTTAAAGCATGTAACTGCTTGATGTTTAAATCTAAAGAAAATATAACTAGAAAAAATTCCACGCGGACCAGGCAGCAGACGGGACTCGAACCCGCACCCTTCGCAATCCGGGCGAATGCACTGACCAAAGAGATGGCGCTGCCTTGCAGCTTAAGAATAGCTAGAAGGAATTTCGACGCGGTCCGTGAGGGCCGCGGTAGCATAATTGGTCAGTGCATTCGCCCGGATTGCGAAGGGTGCGGGTTCGAGTCCCGTCTGCTGCCTGGTCCGCGTGGAATTTTTTCTAGTTATATTTTCTTTAGATTTAAACATCAAGCAGTTACATGCTTTAAATATAATAAAAATTATAACTATAATTGCTATTTCTTCTTTCAAATGTTTAATACTTGTAAAAGTATTCATTTGACATTGTGGGTTAACCTATAATGCGAAGAGATGGCGCTGCCTTGCAGCTTAAGAATAGCTAGAAGGAATTTCGACGCGGTCCGTGAGGGCCGCGGTAGCATAATTGGTCAGTGCATTCGCCCGGATTGCGAAGGGTGCGGGTTCGAGTCCCGTCTGCTGCCTGGTCCGCGTGGAATTTTTTCTAGTTATATTTTCTTTAGATTTAAACATCAAGCAGTTACATGCTTTAAAAATAATAAAAATTATAACTATAATTGCTATTTCTTCTTTCAAATGTTTAATACTTGTAAAAGTATTCATTTGACATTGTGGGTAAAACCTTTTTAGTCAAAATTAGTTTTAATTGTCAAAGAATCTGTTTCTTATCACGGCATTTTTTTTATTTAAGCTTACAACCTTTGTCCTATTAATAACGAACACAAAAAATATATAATAATTTAGTGTAGTTAGTCAGATGTTTAGTTACCTCCTCATCACATAAATCCATCCAAAGAGGGAATAAATACACGTTATCTGGTCTTTAGTAAAAATTCCAAGCTTCGAGTTATCGAAAAGCGCGTTAAAATTAATCCATATAAAAACTTCGTCACTCTCCCATTCCCCTTTTAGAAGAACAAGAAATTGCAAAGGACATTGCTCGTTCCCCATACATTGAATGCCCTAGAACGCCCAGCAATGAGAAAATGATAGTTGTGTTCGGAATCATTCATAAACTCTAATTAGGCATTTGTTGAGATACGGACAAATTGAGGAACCGCGGCCTACTACAGAATGTATTAAGTAGATTTTGAGGTTATAATTATTATACTTAATCGTAAAAGATGTACACTTTAAATATTCTGAATACATTTAGTGTTTACCTCTATGTAAGCATTAAAATAATATGCATTAAATGAACATAAAATGCAATTAATAATAAAAATAATAAATGCTTATATTCATATTGATTTATGAGTGTTGGCAGTTGGCACCTATGATACTTAAACCTACCTGTAGTAATAATAGATTTGTTTTCAAATGAAATGTTCAAAGTCTTTCCATTTACCTGTTTCTATATTTTACTATCGGTAATTAGGTATGTACCTGGATATCATTATGATTTTCATAAAAATAAACAGATATTACATGGGATGGGAGTATAAACTATCTTAACATAATTTCAGAAATAATCTTTTTATAAATATAATATAAATACTAGTAATAAGTATTATTAACTAAGGTACCTAGTTCTATTTTTATGTTGATAAATACCTATGGTCGCCTATATTGTATTTATTAAGGTAAACAATCTTGGCACAACTTTTTAACAGAATCACCCATTTAATAATAAAATATTAACGAAGCCAATAAACTATTAAAATAAATCGTTATTATAGACTGAAACCTATTGAATCCAGTTATCAGTTAATTTTTAATGCTGTATTTTCAATAAAAAGGAATGCCAGGATTGTTTACCAAATAGAACAAGTTGGATGAACAGACTGTAGTATCCAGTAACAGAACTTTTATTTTTTATTTTTTTAAACAGATTGTCCGTTTACTATGATTAATTGCTAATAAGTTAAAAAAATAATAGAAAAATAATAGTAAAGGACATTCTTTTGGGCATGCTAGGGCCGATTTCGTCGATGTCCTTTATAATTTATTTATGTAAGCATTCGTGCCAAGTTTCAAGTCTATTAACTCGAGGAAAAAGATTTTTCCTACAAACTCTATTTTATCCCCTTCGGGAATGAATTTTGAAAAATCCTTTCCTAGTGCATCCCTAGACATCTTAAGGAACCTACATGCCAAATTTGGAGTCTCTAGAGCTAGCGGTTTGGGCTTTGCTTTGATATGTCAGTCAGCCAGTTTCCTCTTTTATATATTTAGAAGATAGTTTAAATATACCAGCTTCAATCCCGGTTTTCTATTTCAACTTCAAATTTGAAAAATTCTCAAAATCAGAATAAAATTTTATAAGGTTCTGAGAAAGCAAATGGGAAGAAATTATTGGAATATGAAAATATTTCTGATTGCAGACTATTACTCTACTAGTCACCTGACCAGCCATCCTAAGTCAGAACCACCGGTCACCCTAAATGTTGATTATGTTCTTAAAATATTGAGCAAGCAAATGCCTCATCATGACAGGAAATTATGGGAATCAATTCTTGGCCACCATTTCAGATATGTACCCATGCGAATACAAAAACCCAAAATAGAGAAAAGAAAAATCTGTGCTTAAACAACTAGTGGCCCA